GGCGTCTAATGTATAATATATGCTGACTTTGTTCTGTTCTTATTGTGTATCTTTACTAGTTTTCTAAGATAAGCTTTCATTTATGTACTTGTTGTAATTACTGTTTGGGAGTATTTGCGTTATTGGATGCGATAAAATCGTGTAGTGAAATGGACATACTCGATGGAACTCGCGGAGAATGGTCACCTATAAAACTACTACTTTCTCCTTCGAATTGGTTTTTTGATTCCTTATTCAGATGAATAGCTATCTCGGTTCCAGATGATCCACCGACTCCCTGTATGGCGTCTGAGTTTGGCGCGGATGACTTTGGCGCCGGGCACCCTCTACGCTGAAACAGGGACATCAAAACATCCCCAACGCGGTTTCGCATGGTTGTCGTCGTTCCACCACTGCCGATGCTGTGTGTCGTACTCGAGTTCGCAGGTGTAGAGTTATATCCAGCGGGCTGCCTCCAGAAGGATGTGTTGCGGCTGCTTTCTACCTCACAGAGATCTAAGCTTGCCTGAAACTCAAGGTATTCCTTGAGTTCAGCAATTTCATTTCGTTGTCTCTCGAGCATCATATCATAGTTTTTAATTTCATCCTTTAGGATATCCTGCTGCTGCTCCAGACGGCCCTCCAGAGATTCTCTTAGCTTTTCGGATTGATCCAGTTCCCTCTTCAATCTGAAGATTATCTCTGACTGCTCTGCGACCCCCTCCCTCCATCCGTCTTTCTCAAGTTCATGACTTGTTTGCAATATATCAATACGCTGCGTAAGTTCATTTAACTGCATTTCTCTCTGAGAGCATGTACAGGATAATTGGTTCAACTCATTCAAAAGGGTCTCCAGCTTAGCTGCGTGCGCTGATTTTTCCTCAACAATGTCATTCTGGAGGCTTACGAGATGGTTTGAAGTGTCACTGCATTCTTGTGAGACTCGATACAACTCAACTTTTAAGCACTTGTTAACTTCAATAGTGTCTAAAATCTGTTTGCCTAAGACATCCATGAGGCAATTCATCTTGATGTCAAAGAATGTCTCCATCTGATCGATGAAGAATTGGAGCTGTGTAAAAGCCCAATCAGTGCACTGAAGCTGACTTGCACTCACTTTGAGCTCATCCTCTATTTTCTCATATTTCTGCTGTACCTCGCGCGCGTATGTCACTGCGTGCGCCCTCTCATGCGTCATTAGGGATAGATCCAAATCTTTTTTCTGAATAATGTCCTTCAGCTGGTCCACCTCTTTTTCAAATATTGGCTTCTGGCTTCGTAATACTGCCTCTACCTCTCCCAATTTAGCAGCCTTTTTGTTTACTTCACCCTCGAGATACTTTTTTACTTGCACAAGATCTGCCTCCTTTTCAGATAACTTTCTCCGTGCTTCATAAAGCTCCCCGTTCAGTTCTCTTAAATCAAGAGTCAATTTATCAAGCTGCTTTGATTGCCTCTCACACTCACCTTGCTGTTTTATGTATTGATCAAGAAGTTTCTTATTATCATTAATCGTGGCAGTGAGCTTTTCCTCAAGAGCTGCGATGCTGTCGAAGGCGTTTCTTTTTTCTTCTTGCAGGGCCACAATTTCCGTATCTCTGTCCGACACAAGCTGGATGCTTCGCTGGATTTGAAGTCGAAGTTTATCATGCAATTCCTCCTGTTTGACCTCGAGAGCGGCAATATTTTCCTTACGTAATAGCTCATCTTCTTGTAAAGATACGATTCGGTCTTGAAATTCTTTCTCTTTAGTCTTTAGGGTTACCATTGTGGCGTTCAAGGAGAGTTGCATCGTCTCTACTTCCTGCTTAAGGACCCTTTCTGTTGCCTCTTTTTCCTCTTTAAAACTTTTAAGTTCGCTCTGATAGTTTTCAACCTCAGCTTCTTTAGCGGCTATGACTTCGAGGTGACTGCGGGCTTCCTCACTTAGCATGTGTTGCAAATGGATGATTTCCGAGGCTAAGATTTTTTTTTCTTGCTCTTCCTCTTGCTTATCCTTTTCAAGGTCCTCGACGAGCTTACGAAGTTGTGAAAGCTCCCTTGCATCATTACATATGATTACCTCCCTTTCGTGAAGATTATTAGCTGCGTTTTGGAGTTCCTCATTCAGTCTACTGATAGCTTCTTGCAACTCCGCCGCGACTTGATCATGTCTCTTGCTCTCCTTTTTAATTTCAGATTTCAACACCTCAACATAATTTTGAGCTTCCTCGAGCTTCTTCGAAAGCTCATTGATGTACTCTTGCATTCCCTTCTGAATACGTGTAGATTCACTTTTATAAGCAGCCATTGCTGCCTTGGTTTCAGATAATTTAAATGCAGACTCTTGCCTTTCCACTTCAGCATCTTTTAGACGAGCCAAAAGAGTCTTTTCCTCCTCCCTTGCTAGTGCGACCTCCACAAGCTGCTTCTGTGCCCTCTGGAATCCGTCCTCTCGCTCACGGAGAGCCTTTTCGAAGCTCTGGAGAGTACTCCGCGTTTGCTCCATTTCTTCAACAATTTGAGTGTAATCTTTATGTAACCGCTCAAGTTCAGCTTTTAATGAGTCAACCTCAGCCTGCTTGGTCACCTGTAGTTGATTCTTTTCCTTCTCTAGAAGTTCTATTGCCGCTCTATGACCAATACTCAGCTGCTCATACTCTTGGTGCATCTTCACTGCTTCTGCAGAAAGTATGCTCTTCTCAGTTAAAAGTGAATTCAGTTGTACCATTATTTCCTCTTGTTGGCTTAAAAGATTTTTTTTCTGTGTTACAACCTCATCAAACTGCTTCTGAAGCAAACTAAAACGCTCCTGAAAGGACTTCTCCCGCGCCTCGTATTCACAGCACGCATTATCTAACTGACGCTGTAGAGCCTCCAGCTCCAGCCCTGAAGCTAGCCTGATAAAAGTAGTAGCTAGCTCCAGGGCTTCCGACAATTCCTCTGTGATAAGTTCCATCCTTGCGACTACCTCTTGTCCTTGCTGTTGATGTATGAGCTCCGCCCACTGAGTATATTCTCGGAGCACTCTGGTCTCCCCAGTAGCACATGCAAGAGCGAATTCCAGGCTTTGCTGTTGCTCCTTAGTACTCTCTAACTTATCTTGAAGGTCTTTCACTGACTGTGAGTGCAGCTCTATCAACAAGCTTCGATCACTTTCCACGTGATTGACTTGCTCCTGAAGCTGCGCACACTGAAGTAAGGTTACCCGCACCCTTTCAGTTGCATCAGATAAAGCCATAGCGTGCACCTCTTTTAGCTTTTGCACTTCCTTTCCATTGAGCTCGTTTGCTCGTTCATGTTCCAGGCGTAGTTTTACCATCCCCCATTTTATGTGAACGAGCTCGCCTGTTGTTTCCAATTGCAGTTTCGTCAAAGCCTGAAGCAAAATATCGCTTGCATCGGTTAACGCCACCATCAGACTTTCATCGTGATCCTGATATAAACGGCAGAAAGCATCACACAATTTAACATATTTCAGCTGTAAAGCCTTCATTTCGTGCTGCAAATCTTCTTTTCCGCAAGGAGTATGAATTGTTGTGGCCTTACCAATTTTGCGCGATAGTTTTACTCCATCCATATGTGGGTTGTCACGCACCTCTTCTTGGCTCATCAATCTCACCGATGGAACTTCACGAGAAGTAATATTTGAGTGTACATTTTTCCCCTTGGGTGCAAAATTGCATGCTGCCGTTCCAAAGGGATCTAATTCTTGATGCTGAGTAGCTGAACGTTCTAAGTCCTGCTCATAGGAATCCTTCGATGCGTCCCTGGTCAGACTAACTTCCTTCTGAATATTTTGTTGTCTGGCCTGCAGTAGTTTAAGCCTATCCTTAAGTAAGTACATAATACCAAGAATTACACCGCCACCTTCCGTGAGTTCATCCTGCTCCTTCGCAGTTAAACTATTCATGTTATCAGTAAGAGATATCAACGAGTGCATTGCATCTTCAAGCAAACGTGTTTGCTTCTGAATATCTGTCTTTTGCAGATCCATAGCATTGTCATGCCGATTAATGGACTCCATTTCTTTTTCGCTGTGCTGCTTTGAAACAGATTTCAAATGGCCTTTAAGTCCTTCGGCCTCAGGCTGACTGACACAGTGTTTTTCATCTTTACCACCCATTCTGTATCTAAAGTCTTTTTTGACATCTTTCGGCACATTCATCTTCATCGAAGAATTTAGAACTGACAGCTGTTTCGGATCTGCTTGCACTTTTCGTATTCCTTTTTTTTTAGTCGGAAGAGCCATCTGCGTGCAAAAAGGTTGTGTTGTGCATCTGACTCCGTCTGAAGCATTTCCTAAACTCCTTAAGCACTCACCACTAATCAGCTTAGAATTTGAGGTTCCTCTTTTCTCATTCTGGCAAGCGCGTGCCTTAGGATTCGTCCCGTTTTTTCGTTTCGGAGACGGAGCACTTCGATTTTGTATACTCTTACAACCCTCCCCTTCCTTAAAGGCAAGCTCGGTAAGGGATTCCACTAGGGACTCTACCTTTATAAGTGGTAACGAATCATCACAAATGTGAGAAGCAGAGAATAAAGAGTCCGATCGATGTGGAAGAAGACCCATCAGTTGAAGTTTCCTCTTCGCATCATCGCTAAGATCCAGCGATTTAGGGGGGACCGACGCAGTGGACTGCACCTTTGACTGCAAAAATTTATTATCCTGCTCTAGCTGCTGAATCCGTGCTATCAACTCGGCCTCATGTTCCTCGGATGCCTGCAGGGAGACATTGAGGTTGAGTAGTTTTGCCTTCTCACTCTCAAGCTTATGATTTTCCCTTTCTAGACGTCGAATATTTGACTGGAGCGACTTCGACTCCCTCTCAGTACTTTTACAGATCTGTGCCAGACGCTTCGTCAGTTGCGCCCTATCGTCCTTGCAGACCTGTAATTCAGTCTCTGTCAACAAGAGCCTCAAATTTTCTTCTTTCAACTTCTCAATGCTAGATCGTAGTGTAGCGATCAGGCTCTTGGTGGTGCTGGCATCGACTGTATTAAGTGCACCACTACTACTGAGAGACACTGCCGCCTTAGAAGCCTCCATGGAAGTGCGCAACAAGGTAATTTCCGCTTCGGCTCGATCAAGTTGTGCCTTTTTTTCACTCAGCTCCGCCTCTAACGAAACGACTCGGTCACGCAGCTCATCTACGTAGTCATCGTTGCCTTTATCCTCCTCGCCTTCCAACAGGCGCTGCAGGCGCCGAACTTCCATGTTAAGCTGCTTGATGAGCCGCTGTTGAGGATCTTCATTCACGACGGCCTTCGTAACGATCTGCTTTGCACGCGACGCGTAACGCAGCGTCTGGAACGTTTCCTCGAAGCTCGATGAGTGTGGGGAGACGGTTGCGATCATGGTTGTTTTGCTATTTCCTCCGAGGGAGTCTCGCAACAACCAAGTAAGGTTGGAGTCGCGATACGGACAAAAGGTCCCCTGCTTGCCCTGGGAAAGATCTGCCAGAGCATCAATCACACGCCCGAGAACTGTAAGGGATAAATTGATCCTGGTAGACTCAATGAAATGCTTACCAATCACACCACTTGCGCCAGTCCGCTCGGATCCGGCCAGATCCACCAAGTTAATCTTGCTACACAACCGTGAACGAGCATCATCTCCAGATATATGCATCTGGATAAGATGCAGGGTCAGGATTGCGTGACTCCGACTGCTGTGGTTGTTGAACCTGGTAACCGCACTGTGCCGCGCGGTGTTGCCGTGCCGCAGACATTTAAAAACACTTTCAACATCCTCTACGTGTGTACGCTGGAGCCCATCCACATAAGGACCGCTTGGGGAGTTACGCACACGAAGCTCAACATTTGGCATCTCTGTGCTCAATAAATTAATGACCTTTTCATTGTATATTTCATAGTACTCAATCTCGACACGAAAAGAGTGGGTATTATCCATTTGATGCTTCTTGTGCAAATCGAGGAATAGCTGCCTCAGGAGCCGCGGAATGATTCCCTCGACAGGACAAACTGTAGACCCTTTCGCATGCATACAGATGGGAAACTCTGTAACAGGCACCTCCGCTGAGGCTGCAACCCCCAGGGTGCTGAAATCACTTCTTCCACCGCGGGACAAAGGCCCACTCGTTTTTTTGAACCTGTGAAGAGCACCAACCGCGCTGGTACCCTTTTGTGGGGGAAAACACGGCCCGCGAGGGGTCCTGGCCACCTCCACTGCTTCAACCCATGAAGCAAGCCCCATCATTGTGTAGGTCTTCCCACTGCCTGTTTGGCCGTAAGCAAACACACAGCCATTGTAGCCCTCCAGCACGTTCTGCAGCACGGGCTGACCAACAGAAGCGTACACAAATGCCTGGTCCTGCATGGAACACTCAATCTCCTGTGGGGATATGGTGTCCCCATCAATTTCCTCAAGGGCTCTGGTGCAAGTCATCGCCGAGTCAAAGCAATTTTCAAACACGTAGGTGTCTTTCGGGGTAAAGTTCTTCTCCGGGTCGAGAGTCGTGATGTGTGAGGGACAGTGATTATCCACACGGACAACGCTTCTAACCTCCACGGGAAACTCAGATCTGCAAGAGGAGGACCCCCCAGCGACTGTGGGCTCTCCAAGTTCCCGCTGCGTAAAGGGACGAACCCGTACAAACACCTTCGTCGCACAGACTTCTGGACCACCTTGCACACCATCCTTCTTTGATCCCAATTGATAGGAATCTGCTGTAGCAGTTGAAATATCTTCTGGGCTGAAAAGGGAAGTGTCTGGTGAAGAGGCAGGAAAGTATCTCGCACTTGCCCTTCCTACGGAGGTTGAGAGGGGCAAATTTTTCGTGATAGCTGAGCTAGGCACTGAACGTAGCCTGGGGTTGGATGCAAGCGACATACTCAAATTGCGAATCAGACTTACTTCTCACACCGTGAAAGATGTTTTCTGTGGACAAAAACTAAGTGAGATGTTTTTACTTCTATATTTATTAAAAAGAAGAGAAATGCCGAAAAAAAATGTGCTGACAAAAGCAATCCTTGCTTGCTTGTCGCTGTGTACAATCTTCCCTCAGAGGAATGGAAAGTAATCTACGCCTGAAAAAAATGTACAACTATATCATCAAGCCAACAGAAAAAGGAGATGTATCTCCTTGAAAAATAGCAGAGAAAAAGGAAAAAAAAGCAAAAACTTTTTATGCCCTTTGTTTTTTTTTTAGCTATGTATAAAAGCTATTTGCAGTAATGTATCCACTAGGCGAGGAGCTGAACGTTAACTCGAGAGAAATAAGCAAGGTGAGAATTAAAGTATGATATATTTGGCCAGATCAATATACTTCTTGCGTATAAAAGCAAAAGCTCTAGTATGAAGATCCCCTTGAGCAACAAAGAAAAGTATAAAGTCTATTATTAGTAATGAAAATGAATTCAGAGCAAGACTAAACATAAAATGTTCGCATTTGTGTATTTAGATATAGAGCATGTGTTTGAATTCAGTGAGTTTGGGTTACCATTCGACCGCAGAATGATTGAGGTAATAATAAGAACGTAAAACACCTTGTGCTGAGCCAGATATCAGCTTGAATATGTTGGATGGGGAAAAATTAGAATCATAAACGACACACGCGTTTCTTTCATTTTACTTGCGGAAGATCATGCTGATAATGTAGAGATGTGAAAAGTTTTCTCCTGAATTTACTTCTTAGACGCAGACACAGATCACTCTCAATGGTCGTCATCCATTGAATGCTATGTGCTACATTAAAAGAAACGTTATTTACTATTTTCTGGAACAATCCTCGAAAAATTTTTGTAAGAATTGCCTTATCATGTTGCTGGGTTCGAGTCATACACCCAACGATCGCCGGATTGATCTACCCCCCACTTCACACACTTTAGTTTGAAAAGGGACGCAAGAGACGATCGCACCCACACACTCCAATTAAATGTTGGTGAGTTCGCATGATACAAAACCTTACCCCCCCCCCTCCCTCCTTTGCACACATACAGACATCGCTTTTGATGTCAGTAAACGACAATAACTGGGCTATTAGGCTGACTATGACATCACTCGGCATCTTGAGTATCACTATTTCCTTCGTCTTTCTAATCTTTAGCGAGTCCTCCTTGCTAATTCTAAAGGTGGAGCATGCATGTCACTGCTCTACGATGTCATTCTAGATACAAAAATACCATACTAAGCCTCCTTGTCAAGTTTCCATTTTTAGCCGAAATATTACTGTGCCCCTTTACTGTTTTCTAATCATAGATTGTAGCTCGAAAACAAACAAAAAAAGATGTCAAACGTTGAGAAAATAGTGTAAACCTGGAAAGTTCTCATCATCCATATGCTTCAGACAGAAGTCAAAAAGCTAAACCTGACTGAGCTAGAGGCAAACACACATGCCTTTTGTTTCGACCCTTCGCATCAGCATATTCACGCAGCCACACAAGGCCTAATCTACGTCTAAGATTGCAAAAACAACGACGGCTATAGCTAGAGTTCTTTATCGGAGCTTTTAAGATGAAGCCACTGCTGCATCTCTTCCTGATAGCGCTGCAGACTTTCGTCGTGCTCCTCCTGAACCTTTTTAGCTTTGGTTAGGATTTCCAAAAACTTTTGTGTATCACGTCTCTGTTTTTCCTCTACATCTTGCAGTGCTTGGTCATAATTCATGCGCTGCCGAAAGGCCGAATCGCGCATCCGTTGCCGAAGGTTCATGTAGTCTTGGTCATGTACAAGTTCACGTAGCCGGCATAGGTCCGCCTCCATGCTCGTGGACTTGCTTTCCCAATCCTTAAGGACAGAACTGCTGGTGTTGATGATGTCGTCTTGCCGCTGCAGAACAAGAGCCAGGTGTTCCTCATATTCAAGCTGCTTCTTTGCTTTCTCTAACTCAAGCGTTGTGAATTGTCGACGCAGATCGGCCATCTCGAGCTCGAGCTTGTGACGCTGACGATCTTTATCAATAAGCTCCGACTGACGGCGCGATTGCTCATTCTCAAGCTGATACTTAACACGCGAGAGGTCCACCTCCTTCGTGCGCTTTAGATGCTCGATTTCTTCCCGGAGGCGGTCCAACTCACGGGCCTGTGCTTCGCGCGCCTGCTGCAGCTCCTTTGTGGATCGCTGTGAATCCTGCACAGTGTCGCCGAAGCTCGCCCGGAGGCGTTTGATCTCCTGTTGGTACAACTCTCGCTCCTTTGCGAGCTGTGCGCTACTCTGTTTGCGGAGCTCTTCCTTCTCGTCCTCCATCCGCTTACGACTTTCTTCGTAGATCGCGCGGTTGCGTTGCATGTGCTCTTCCATCTGAGTGAGGGTCTTCTTGTGCTTATCTACTAGCTGCCGTTGTTGATGTGCGCTTTCCTCAACGGTTTCACGTAGCTTCCTTTGGAACCTTTGCGCCTGAATTTCCAGCTGCCCTTCAAAGTTTCCCTTACAAGCGTTCATCTCATATTCATGCGCAGACTTCATATGCTTTACAATTTCACGCACCTCTGAGTACGCTCGAAGTAGCACGTTCCAGAAGGTGTTAAGAACAATTGCTTCTTTCTTTTTGGTGTAATTCAAAACCATGTTCAAGTTTAGCATAGTGGCCTCGAGCAGTGCATAAATTGTGTCACGATGCATCGCGTCTGCTGCTCGATAATGGGCAATTTCTCTTTCTTGTTTCACGATTTGCTTACCGCATGTGGTGAGGTATACATCGCTCACCTTGTCCTCCTGCTCAGTGCTTGCCCGCCTGATAGCAGCCCCCTTTTTTGTGGGAACAAACTTCTGTGATATCATCTCCCCCGTTCTCTCAGCAGCCAAGCTTTTGGTACTGGAGGGAGTCTGAACTGCACAGCTCTCCGCACACGTCGGGTCCACAAGTCCCTTACGTTCAAGCTCTGCACGCATCGTAGCCAGCATCAATTCCTGGTCTGAGTTCTTCTTTGTGAGCCTTGTCACCTGTTGTTCAAGGTCAAGGACGTATTCACGCGTGTAGCCGCAGCCTCCGACCTCCCTCAACATCCTCTGTAGCCGCTCCACCTCACTGCGAAGCTCGCGGATCAGAACAACTTGCGGGTCCTCGTTTCGGACGGCGCGGTTGACGATCTGTTTTGCGCGCGAGGCGTAACGCAGAGTCTGCTTCATCTCCTCGTAGTTCATCGTGTGTGGCGAGATTGTAGCCACCATCGAGGTTTGGCTGTTGCCACCGATCGAGTCCATCAGCACAAGAGTGAGCTTGGAATCGCGGTAGGGTACAGGTACGGCAAGGGATTTGTTCTGCGAGAGATCCGCTAAACAATCGATGACGCGTCCTAATACCGTCAGCGACTGGTTGATTTTGACGCCTTCGTCGTACTCGGGGCGATCCACACCTGCCTGCCCGGCGCGCTCCGAGCCTGCCAGATCCACAAGGTTCAGCTTGCCCTGCGTTTTGCTTGGGGTGCCGCCGCCGTCAAGGAAGAGCTGCACAATGTTGAGGCTCAGGATCGCGTGGCCGCGGCTGCTGTGATCATTAAACTTAGTCGCCGCGGTGTGGCGCTCTTGGATGCCCTTCTGAACCGCTGCCGCAACATCCTCTTGGTTCGTCACAAGCTTGTAGCAAAGGCCGTCCACATAAGGCCCGGAGGTCGGGTTATGACGAATTTTTAGGTCGGTGCTTTTTTGCGGACGTATGAGATCATAGAATTTATCTTGGTAGATCTCAAAATAGGACACTTCAACACGATAAGAGCATGACGGGTCCTTCTCCCGCGTGAGACGTAAGGTTTCAAAGAGATCTGCACAGATACGGGGTATGATTCCTCGAAGTTCACTCGGATCAATTCCAGACTTGTTAACCACGCTCCTGGCCTCCACAAATTTCAGGGGTGGCTTGTTGGAATTGGACTGAGAACCGCTGCCAACGCTATCACATCCAGTGGAAAGCTCCATACGACTCCTCCCACTCATGTTGCTAACATCGGTGCTTCTATTACTTTGGTCTCTTATTTTCGCTTGGCAGTGAGCATCAGACGTGTAGCCGAGCATTGTGAAGGTCTTCCCGCTACCCGTCTGACCGTATGCAAAGATGCATCCGTTATACCCATCGAGAGCGTTCTCAAGGATGGGGCGGCCAACATACCGATACACCTCGGCTTGGCTTGCATATGGCGGGTGGCCGACGTTGCTGTCAACTATGACGGCGTTGGATCCAGAGCTCCCATACACTAATTTATTGATTTCATTGAACGTTCTCTCCTGTAGTCCACCTCCGCGAGAGCTGCACGGTGAGGCAAGTTTTTCTCGCCCCGAAAGTGAACCAGACCTGTGAAGACGTCGGGGTACGCCCGGAGCGCCATTTAGATACGTACCAACAGTCTCGCACAAGTCACTCACGTCGAGATTTGTCCTTGTGCCGCCATCGGTGCTGTGTTCGAAGACAGACCAAAAACATCGCGTAAAGCTATATGTCGTAACAGGGCGAAAGTCGCGGCTTGGATCAAACAGCGTGATCATGCAGGGATTATCCAAATCGATACGTACAGTACTGTGGTGCGACATGTTCTTCTGGGCGATCTCGCGCTTGCTATAGGGCCGCACACGAACATACACCCTCATAGCATTTCCCTGTGTCTGAAGCAACGAAGAGTATTCTGAGTTACGGTGAAATGAAGAGCTGTTGATATTCGCATGGGCACTGGTAGAGATATCAGCGCCAGTTGATGAATCATGCGGAGATGGGATCATTGAGTCAGTGCTCTGAATATGGCGATCCGATGTGAGACGATTGAAAGAATGGAGAGAGCTGTACGAAGCCCCGCCATTCCTGTTAGATATCGTTCGAGCGGAGATAGGAGGCTTTGATTGTTGAGCTTCCTCTTTTGAACTCGGCATTGTCCTTTAATTAGCTATTTTTTTCTGTTTGCGCTGTTAAGATACCCCCCCACCCCCCCCTTTATTTTTGATGTCGGGTTATGAGTACGCCCTGCCGAACTCCTCAGTAAACAGAAGTTGTGCTCTGCTATATGTATAAGCAAATTATTACGCTTAAAATGAATATTATTTACTTTCAATCAGTATTCAATATGGAATTGGAAAATGGTATCTATCTAGAACAAAAAAATGTAGCTAAAAATTGAATACGTTTTCTTATATATTGCCTTTCTAGGAGCACCAAATATATGAAAATGGATACACTATACTCATACATAAAAATATATAACGCGCAATACTGTGGAAGTAAATCGACAAAAAAGATGCACTGAACAAGAAGAAAACAACACTAATGTGCTCACATACGAATTAAAAGCATTAAACCCTCTCGAAAAAAATCCCCCCCCCCCCCCCCCCAAGAAAAAAGCATTGTGTCATAAAGTGTTATGCATACAAATATATATATTTATATATATATATACTTTTATATGTGAATCTTAATTGGGATATTGAATCGTTTATGTTGTAAGCCATTAAATTTGAAGATGGAATAGTGTATAAACACCAAAAATAGCTACACACGAAATACCCAAGCAATTCCTCGGCAAAGTTCATTTGGCTTTTGACCCCACGTCTAGCGCATGCGGCGTGGTACGGTGGGTTTAAACCGACTATCCCTCTTTTGGGTTAATTGCTTTTGAATTCCATCATTCTGCCGACGAATTACCTTCGCCAGCGCAGTAAGACTTTTGCTACGCTCCAAACGTTGCTCAACTTCTTTAGCACGGCGGGCGGCATCGATCGCCTCATTTTTTTCCTGTTGCCGTCGCCACTTCAACAGCTTCATGGCGTCATCTTCTACCACCTCATCCTCACCGCTCAACCCCATATGACCGTTCCTGTCATCGCTACGACGGGCAAGGTCCTCCGCAAGAAGGTCGTCGAAGCGGTAGTACCGCTTCACGTCCTGCTTCGCTTTGATCCTCTCCAGCAAGGCAATCCGTGCCTTTTCATCGTTACCGACGGTGCTCAGTTTTTGCTGAATTTCCCGGCGCTCTTTACGACGCTGGTTGACTGATTTCATAGTCTGTGTGCCGCCGCTACTCAGCAGGATAGCCTCAGGCAAGACGATGTTTTGCAATACAGACAAACGTCCTCGGATCGCTGGGTGCCGTTGTAGCATCTCCTTTGTTGTGTCAAAATAATCAAGTGGATCGAAGTGCTTGAACTCGTCGTCATCTTCCACGAACACGACATGCTTATTTTTCGGTGCGGTGCTGATGATAGAAGTAGCAGCGTCCTCCTCAAGAAGATCCCTCAATCGATTCTCATCAGCTTTCGCCTTGAATTCCAGGTACTGCACGTTGCGTGTGTTGTGACCTATTGTTTGCTTTAGCTCCGAAATACGCCCCTCCGGCTGCATGCGTTGCTTCCTTTTCTTCATGCGTCCGGTGGCGACATCCATAATAGCCTTGGTCATGCCTATTTGAAATTCATCTGGATTACGTTGGGCAGCGGCACGTTTCAGTTCCAGAAGACGCTTTACTCTAGCCTTACGCTTCTTGCCTCGTAGTACATGATCCTTGTGCTTCTCAAGTTCGCCTAGATGCCGTCGAGCCGCTAGCTGAGAACGCTCTTGATGCACCTTCCGCCTAATGTGCTTATTCAAGCCAGAAACACCAGGATTCCGTCCTTTCCCTTTAGTCATCTATGCGGCGCTGGAAGTGATGTCCTTTTTATTATGCTAACTAGATCCCCTTAATAAACTTATACGCAGGAAATGGGAAACGTCGAGCTTCCTTTATAAACCAACTCTATACGAAGACATATAGCGCAAATATGTCGAAAATAATAAAGCAAAAAGGTCATGTATCCACATCTTACGGCTAAGTTTCAAACTCATAAGACGCTTCATTAGTAGCTCCTCAGTGCGACATTTCCACGAAGGTCAAGTCCTTAGGATCTCTGAGGATCTGAGTCATATTTTATAAAAATGTCTCTCATTGTTAAAGACGTCGATCAACCCCAAAGTGGGATTTTTAATGTCACGTATTATACGATTTTGGTTGTTAAATATTTATATAAATATGCCATCGCATATTTATTTCCGTATCCACTGAAGAGCGAGCAGCTGATAGGCATTCATAATATAGTAGAGCTTCAATAGGATAGATAGTACCACAATCACGACTAAGCTAAACAGATATATCCTGAAGAAACGAGAGAGAACGACTTACCTAGTGCTCAGACTATTTTTCACACAGGGAAAAAGTTTCTACTCGAGAACTGTGCCTGTTACTTCTGTATCCTGAATGACCTGCGCTAAATATCGCACTCGTTCCGCAAACAACGTCAAAGCTGTTCTAAATATTTGCACCGAACGCAGCTGTCCAACACTTTCAATATGAAATCGTACACTAGTCTTGTTCTTTTGGATCTTCACCTTGTTCTCAAGTTCTGGATACAGATCTGTGCGTAAACATTCCCGGCTGATGGTGCACTTGTTTCCGTCTAACACAATCGCGGACACGGATACTGGTTTCGTTGATAATTCTTCAGAATCCTTAGATAAGCCAACCCTCAATTTGGCGTCCTCCTCCTCATCCTCCATATCTTCTTTGGGTACTTTAACCAGACCAAATACGCCCTTGGGGCACATCTTGACAAGTTCTTCTGCAGCTTTCCCAACCACGGGCTCTGTCAACTCAATGCTCGTCTTCATTTCGTAATAACATGCTGACACAGGGCTCCACTTTGTGTGAACAGCACCGATACCCTTCACTGCCATGGCGCGGAGTTTTAGCCGCTGCCCCGGACCCAGCTTCGTCAGCAAGATATCAGGGTGCACTACAAACACCTGGTTATCCTCATCATCCTGCGTAGCGCTGAGGTCGTTGGGGCGCTGCTGAAACCCCTCCTGCCCTGGCAATGGAACCCAGCGCAGCTGCCCACTGTACACAGGCGTTACCGCAACGTTCTTCTCAGCCTCCGCTTCCAGCTCAAACAAAAGCACCCGTTTAGGGTCTAGGGACTGGAAACTTGCCTGGCTCGACTCCGTGATGTACTCCATGAGAGAGACGGGCCCGGCGACAGGCACGAGCCCAAGTCTGTGCGAGAGGAGCTCATCCAGCACCACACCGTCATTTTCGTACAGAAGGACACGATCAAAGGCCAAGGTCGGGACTTCGGTGGTTATAACACGGCGAAACAGGTTTGCGATCGGCGGGGAAACAGCATCCATGTCAAAGGAGAGCTTCTCTACTCGACGCGTCGTGCGTGGGAAGCCCTCTGACGTCAGACCTTGCGAGGCGAAGCATCCCAGCGCCCCGCCCTTTCCCACCATGTCTTCGAGTTTCACCTGAGCCACCTCGGGGGAAGAGGGAGCAACGATGTTGGGTTGCTTCCTCCATTTTCCATTCTCCAAGGAAGCGATAGGAAGACCAACCATCGCTGAGGTGATTAGAAGATTAGAGATTTGTGGTCGGTCTAGTAGAGTCGTTGCAGGCACGTTGTTTTTCCCCATCTGTGCATCACTCCCACCTCCACTGTGGGCGTAGGTGTGTGGGGAACTAACCGTCTCTGTATTATCCACCCGGTTGAGAGTGACTTGCATATAACTAGAACTTTTATTTGTACTCATGTCTGCTTTCTTTTCCCTGTCTTCTTTTTTTGTGTGTGCGTTGCGAACAGACGCCTATTGGCCAATGGAACCGTTTACGGTGCTGGGACTCCTTCACTTCGCCTCTTTATCTTTTCCTAGCTTTAGATTGTTATTCGATCAACAACGAAAACGACAAAAAAAAATACGTAACAATAATTCTGAGCAGTCTTATATTAGGCTCTTGAATAGACTCCCCAGCAAGGCTTCGTGGAAGAAAAAAAAAGCAAAATGCGATGATAATTTAGGTAAGAAGTTTAAGGTGGTAATATTGCGATGCTACCTTTCGATATCTGCAGAAAGCATGGACTTGGGATGAGGCTAATAGTAAATATGTCGACAAGCTTCTCCCCCGCAGCACACTTCCCTCCGACTGCTTCATCATAAAGGAACATATTTTATAAAGTATCTCGGATTTTCTCCTTTACCTTTTTTTGCATTTAATTGAATCCCCTCACCCCTTTCGCGCGCCCTTTCCCTCTATTCTGTGCCGCTTTCGCTGTCAGATACATTCTCAGATGAGTCGCTTTCGTCCACGTCATCTTCATCCGAATCTGAGAACACACCGATACGAACAGCAGGCATACGTGAGCATGCCGCAGTTTCGTCAGTTTCACTGGGCTCTGCAGGAGGATTCAGCTCCTGGCGCTGTGGCAGCTCCTGGATGTAGCTAAGGTATTCATCTCCTGCCATGGTCGGATCGAGTTCCATATCATTGCTGTCAATGGGATCACTCCGGTTATAGAGGTAGTCATGACCTTGAACATCATACCCCTGTGGTTGCAGGCCGTCAATGTCCTCACCGTCGTCGGGTGGGAATCGCCGATGAGATTGCCGGGCACCTCGGGGAACACCTCTCCCATTCCCACCTCCCCGACCACCACGATGCGGCTGGCGCTCATAAACGGTTGGATCGGGGTTATCGATAATACGATCATTCTTAAAGATATATACCTTTTTCCCAACACACATAAATTTTCTAAGCGATATGGCGCGTGCCTCGACCTTCTTATTAGGAACATTAATACGCCCGATAGAACCCACGATGGTCGTGGGCCCCACACGGATGTTCATCGTCTCGCCGAGGGCCTTGGCGAGCATGAGGGGCACGTTACCGTAACGGCGGTCCGGCAACGGGTAGACCAACACACTCGGCTTTCTCTCATCCACCACCTTCGCCGGTAGCGGTGGGGGCGGCTTGCTGAGCGGGTTCACCAAAACCGGTGGAGGGGAGGGCATCACCCCATTGCCTGGGCTGAGGTCGTCGTCCAGAACGGCACCACCAATCCCAGCTCCAGTCAAGAGCTCCATAAGCTCCGCCGCGGTGGGTGGCGTGTCGGCGACTGCCCCTTCTGCGTCGTGGGCAGTCTCTAGAGCGTTAGTGGCGATGCCGGTGGACACCGGCCGCGGCGGGCTACCAGGCGCCACAGCCGGGTTCGCATCCGTGGCCTTGACGGCACTGTTTGTTTTCATCGCCATGAGCTTCTCCAGCAGCGTCCCAGGGGCGGCTGCGGGGGTGGGGGTGGCATCCTGGCTGTCCTTTACCTCGCTCGATGCGGCCGCTATTGTCGGGTCGTCAGGGAAGGGCCGCTCACTGGCGCCACCGCTTGCCTTCATCCGGCTGCTCAGGGTGAGGGCTGCAGGCTTGCGTAGACTAACCGCCGCCGTCTCAACCTGCAGCCCAGCGGATATATTCGTGTAGGCTTCCTCCTCCCCATCCGTCCCGGCGATCTCATGCAGTAGCACCTGCTGCCCCTGCTCCTGCCTTTTCGAGGTGGTTCCGTATTTGTCATTTCTACCCCCCTCCTCATCTCTTTCCCTCTCATTTAAATTTTCCTCCATATCATAGGACCGCGCAGGATCCTCCAGAGGCAGCCCAAGCTCCTCTCGGAGCTCACACTCCAAGGACGTCAGGTAATCCATCAGCTCCTCCAAGTCATCGCCAAGGACCTCCATGTCGGGTGCGGCCTGCCGGAGGAGGTAAAGGTAATACTCATGGAATTCGTTCTCTGGGTCCAGAAAGATGAAAAGGTCGGGGTTATCGCGAAGGAGCTGCGCCTCGTGCTCCCGGGTTCGTTTGGTGGCCACGCTCTTCACACACATTCGAACAATCTGATCCACGTCTGGGCTGGGAAACTTTCCAGTGTACGCAGGAACGGATGTCTCCTCGACAGCAGACTTAAAGGGGGCACACGACTTCTTAGGTCCAGTGACCTCCAGCGTAGGGGGCAACACCTTTTCAGGCACACCTGGCCGCGTCCGGAAGGCGTAAAAGCTGAAAAGCTTAAGTTGCTGTTTTGCCTTATTTTCCCCATCGATTAGATGATGGCCACTCGTGTCATCCACAGCAGATCTTCGCTGATTGCTGAGTAATATCTGTCGTTCTTCGTGCAACCATTGTGGACCGCCTTTCTGCCGTCGCTGCCACCATCCCCATGCCGCAATGACTTCCGAGGCGGAGACAGCCGCCTGATCTTCAGTCCAGCCCTTCTGGAAGGCGAGAGCTCCCAGGTGCCGCTGGATGTGCGCTCTCAACCCCTGCAGCCACCGCGCGGTGGTGGCGCGCAACATAAAGCTATGGTTTGAATCCGCCGTGAGGATCACCGTGGGTGCGTGGACAGTGTCATAGGCTTGTATCGATATGGAAACCGGTGGCAGCTGCGCTGGTGGTGGAAGCAGGCGTGCTCGCTTTGTATTGCGCCAAGCGCTGGTGAGAACCGAACTCCAGCCACGACAGCGACAAGGAGACTCCTTGAGTCGTTCACGACTCTCGCCACACATCACTACCACTGCGTCCTCTAGCATCGGAACGGCTTGCTCCAAGACCGCAATCTGTGGTGAAGAAGAAGTAGTTAGGACAACTGAGGATGGCTCCAGCATTGACTTTGACAGATACAGAAACGTTTTATCGATCACCCGGGTCATAATGGCTTCGCTGTCCGCGTCATCGGCGATGCGCACGACCTCGCGGTCACCTTGCTGTTCCCACTGAATAGAGAGGAGGCTATAATCCGCATACACACCAATACGTTTTAGAAGAGGTATCGCTGATGCACTCACGGCTTGAAGAGGAGGATGGGGAGGATCAAGCAGGACGCCGAAAACTCCCTGAGGGCCGTTATGGCTATCCATCCCGTAGTTCTGCATTCGCACACAGTTTGGATAAAGGGCAGCAGTGAGGCAGACCTGAAAATGACCACTCATAATGACTTCATCAGGGAACTGGGCTAGGGCAAGTGCGATTTGCTCCAGCTTATCGTCGTGTTTATCGGCTGGTGATGCCCTATTCGCTTTCCAGAGAAGGCTAGTGAACAGCTCATGAAGATTAATCTGCACACTCAGAATTTCTAACAGGAAGGACTTTGGGACTTTGCATTCGCTCAGAAAGGCTTCTTCCTTTGCACCGCCATCGCTTTTGTCGCAACGCAGGCTTAACCACATTTTATAGATGTTAAAATTACTTACCATGTCATTTACAGAGTTCCATGCGAAAAATCTTCTAGCCTCCCTGAATAGTGCACGGCACTCAGTCTCATGCTCAAGTCTTTCTTCCTTATCCTCAGACAAATCCTCTACAGGGGATTCAAGATCCTCTGCGGCGGCTTGGTACACGTCTCCAACCAACCACACTGCAGCCGCTGCAGTTGCCTCAACAAAGCATCCAAACATAGAGGCGAATACCAGGAGCCGTGTAACAGGAGTGGGCAGAAGCATGCAGGTATCTAGAACTCCCATCGGTCGCAGCTTGGCGGCCAAAATCAAACCAGATCGGGTTTGAGGCTCCTCATTGCTAAGCTTAGCCTCCAACGAGTCAGATCCCCCTGACAGTTGGAGATGCCCGGATGCGACCAAATATCCCTCTAAAACAGAAAAAACACGACGCAGCTGTTCGTAGCGATTTGCAGACGCCGCAGGAACCCCAATGAACTGCGTGGATACGAGTGAAGCCACCTTGGCGCTCACTGTGGTTGGCTGAGAAACACCTCTGTTAGAAGATGACAAACTAGCCTGCTGCTCCAAAGAGCCTCTGTTGTGTGATATCGCTTCTTCTCGAGCCTGAAACACCTGATAGAGGTCGAGATACCTTTGGAAAGAAAGACGAAAAACAGAGTGCTGGTTTGGATCCGCGCTCTGTCGTCGATGTTGTGCGCTATGCAAGACCATTCTTGGTATCAGCTGGATGACCATACAAGGCCGAGCCGCTCCCTCTGAACCGACAAAGGTTGGCTTGTTTTTTGCAACACCGCGGCGGTAGCGTAAGTTGTGGGAGTTCGCGTACTCTGTACTCCATCGGTCACACATCGCAGTGAGATCAAAGGATTGGATGCTAGTCCGCGCGCAATCTACTATGAGTCCAACATTCAACGCTGGTGGCAGCGTCGTTTGTGCGAGCTCTGGAGTCATGAAGAGCACTACACGTGTCTGTAAAAGTTGCCCGCTCGGCCAAAGACTAGAACCAAGGCGCTGCCCTCGCGCGATACTCAGAAAGTCCGCAAAGGGTGTCACGAACTCCACCAAGACGTGGAACTCAAACCGATCGACGGCTGGCCTTGTTGACCCTTCTTGATATTCCGCCGCGCACAAACGGCGAAGCTGGCATCGAACCTCTTCTAAAATTATTCTTACCCAGTGTAAACTGGGAGTTATAACCACAATAAGACTCAAATCGGAGGTCTGAGCCGTAAGCCCTGCCGAGAGGCCACTATCACCTGTCATTGTTTGAGTATCAGCGAGATCGTAATGCCAAATGGCTTGCGCGATGATGCGGCACCAGTAGCTACGACACTTGCTTTCATTTACAAAATCTGCGTCCGCCGCGGCCATGACCTCTGTAACAACATCCACTTTCTCGACATAAGGAGCCAACTCTAGCTCAGGGTTTCGGCAAAGGGAACTGCCTTCGGAGCGGCACTTGTGCAACCATTGAATCGTTTCCTCCAGGTAAAAGACAGTCAGGGCTGAGCTTAAAGGGGAAGCAACTGAGGACGCGAGAAGAAAAGTCGTCACGCGGCAAGTCAGCGAGGCCGCAAAAAAATCTAAAAGAGAGGTCGAACAAGTCTCATCGGGACAATTCAATACAACGTGCAGTTTCTTCAACCCCACCCTACCCCCTCCGTCGGCACTGCTCCCATCCGTGGTGGCAAACTGCGAGGCACGCTCACGAAGCAAAGCACAACAGAGCTCCGTGGCTTCCGTACGAAGGTGCACATCATCAAAGATGACCACGCCGACATCCATCAGTACAGGATCACAGAGAAGCTGTCGCAGCAGCACCTCGGCGGTGGTTACCAGGATAAGGGTGCCCTCCGTTGCTTCGGAGGGCTGCCCAGGTGGCACCAACGCGACCGTCCTGGAGTCACCTGCCTCACCGCGCTCCTCCCGAAGTCGCGTAACGGTCAGCCGAGCGGCCATCTCGTTCGCGCTCACCACGATGATGCGCCGGCGCTTGAAGACCTCCTTCTCGGAGAGGATCGTTGGTAGCTGCAGGGTGCGCCCACTCCCAGCATTGCCCACGACAGCCACAACGTCATGGGCTAGCACGGCATCTAAGAGCTGCATGCGTTGCTGATATACGGAAAACTGCTGGCGGTGTGGTAACCACTGCCGCCTGGTCTTGAGCACGGTGATCATTGAAAGTGATTCAACCGCCTGCGGCTTAAAAGATGGAAACGGAGCAAGCTTGTGAATAGACTCACGGCGTGCATCGTCGGAGGGAAGGGCAAAAACAGTCGAGGCGGTCATAAATACCGAGCGTGTCGTGGGACCTCCCTCACTACTGTCATGTCGTTCAGGTTCATGGTGAAGGGGGAACCAGGATAAGGGTGGCGCCACCTTACGAAGAGCCTCATCCCAGCGCTCCACGTCGGCATCACCTATAGGTACATCTAAAAGATGATTACAGCAGCTGTTATTAAAGGAGCTGCTGGATATATTGCGCTGCAGGTCAGGGTGTGTGAACGCATGGAGGCGACTCGCAGAAACAACAGCAGGAAAGCCATTGTGAGCTGTATACAAAGTTGGTCTGGACATTGTGTTAATCTTTTTCTTCAGAAAAAAAAATGATTATATCTACCAAAATCTTGTACTCAACCAGTAGGGAAGATATCCACTGAATACTTGAGTGAACTTCTTCTTCAATTGACTGATGACCCTTTATGCCTATGGTTCTTTAAACAAAAATTCTAGGGGAAAACAGTAGGAAGTCTCTACAGCCTTACACATGTGCATCTGTAAAATACTCATCAGTACACTGTTTGTGGGTTGGAACTGGGAAGCCAATATTGCATAAATTGGCTTTCTAAACATAGTCGAAAGTGGAAAAGCAATAACAGAAGGACAGTTGGACAAATGTATGCGAATTTCTTGTTATCATTTCTAAAAGCGTCACAACGCATCTAATGGAGAGATATTTTGCGAAAAAAATTCCATCATTCGCTTTTGATAGGTTAACTTTGATAAACAATTTCCTTCACAAGTTAAATGTCTTCCTGAATTCCTTTCAAACGGCGTAGTTCCTCCTCGGTAATAGGCACATTGTTGCTTAGTAAGGCCATCTCAATCTGTGTTTGCACTCGATAGTGTTGATAGCAAAAGAAAAACAGTCCAAAAGTAATTAAGAAGCCTAACGCACAGAGCAAAATCGTACCCGATGAGGCTGACATGGTGTTGTCTAAAATGAACGAATAGTCTCGGAATGTGTCGAGGGGGATGGATGTACTATTGGTCATCCAAATAAAGCTTGACGAATAAGTCCGGGAAAAGGGTTGCTTGTTCCTTGTGTTCCATACACCAATGCCAAGAACAGAGTCAGGGATTTGAATATTCACCTCGTACACTGCAAAATTACGATCCCCTCTGTTGTTAATTGTACAATCCTCTGTGAAATTATTAATGGAGGTCCGACGGATAAGCGGAAGGAGATGATTTCTAGTTTTGAGTGAGATGTTTGCAGCTAACGCCCGCTCAACGGCGTCAATGAGGACGTACGCAGCATCAACGGCGAATCCGGTGAAGCTTGGTATATCCATTATGGAGCAGGTTTTTGCCTGTAATATCAAATTAGCATTGCGTAAAATATTTTTGACGTCTTCGAAAATAACTGGATTCGTTTTGACCTTCGTGTCGAGCTCTTTGAGACGGTCCGCCGGCACATAGGGTGACAGACAAATTGAGCTCTGAAGCTTATTTCGCTGCTCAGGAAAGGCAGCACCATGCAGACACAGATCACTGCTAAGAAAAAAGACGTACTTATTCATAAAGGGTAGCTTATCAATTAGGTTGAAAAACATTTCTGCATTTTCATCGTAAAGAGAAAGCATAACTAGTATAATTCGGCTAATGTGCTTCTCATAGATCACGTTTAGGGCCTCAACGATGGAGGCTTCACTGCTGTTCTGCAAGAGAAATGTCTTCTCTACGTATATGTTCTGGCTTTCCATCGAGCTTAACATGGTCTTTGCTCGAGAACTCCCAATATTATCCGCAGTCGACAGGATGATAACACGCTCCCAGCCAAAATACTTGCACGTGCCAGAATAGGCAAAGTAATTTAAGGTGTTAGGTGGGGCTGTGCGGGAAAAAAACGGATAAACAAAGTTATCCGACGTCAAAAGGTCGTCCGTGATGGCGTAATCCAACTGCGGGATTTGGTAACTGTTGAGTACTGGTGTGAGGGCTTCGGCGATAGCGTTATGTCCAGGACCTACCAGCACCGTACATGCGCGACCGATCCCTGTAGCAGATAGCGTCGACAGCCCGGCAATACCATCGAGGCCAGTGTTGAATGCAACAGGCAAAAATGGAACTATTTTTGCGTTCTCATAAATTTCCTTATTGTGCAGCAGAAGCACAAACAACATTGCAGACATCAATTTAGAGTCCGCGCAGGTCGGGGGAACGGCCAGGCAGATCACAGCGGAGCGCAGTGGCGAGCTTGGGATGAGTGCAGCCGTGATAATCGGGTCATAATTTTTAACTATGGGCTTCGAAGTGCAGTTTCCCGATTCCCACGTTACGAGCGGGTTCGGCATCCGATAATGATCTAGGATGATAGAAAAACTTGTCTCCACACGCTCGCTACGGAGCGGGGAGAAGGCGACAATACCCGTGAAGCCCACAAAGCGAACCGCGTGAAGAGCGCTCATGTTGCCTATACCCGTGGCCTCAGTGATCATGCGCATTCCATCAAAAAGGTGACTCATTATGTAGGCACCGTACTCGTCCACACTATCTTGCTGGAAATAACCATTGGCAACGAGTCTTTCCGCTGTCTCGTATGTCGAAACGAAGAGTGCACCATACGGCTTGACATATCGTTGATAAGTACCATTCATCTGCCTGAGTGCGCCAAGAGCCTCATAGTTGCCCAACAAAAAGACGTCCAGATTGGCACGCTGTATCGCCTTTTGCAAGCGTTCCAATTGTTTTTCATCAACAAAGCATGCGATACCTTTGGGTTTGTGCAGAATCAATTTCGCTAGTAATGCGTCATCCTCCGCTTCCAAACTGGCGGAGTTCATGAACGCCTCGCCAACTATGGTTGGGGCATCGCTCACCCCCTGCAACTGTGTTGATGCGATTTTTTGAAAGTTTATGCCGTATCTGGAACTGTCGGAAATGACCGCCACTGATTCCCACCCAAGCGAAGTCGATGCTACCTCCATGACACCCCGAAAGTTAGTTAAGTCCTGAGGCACTATGCAAACCAGCCGGGGATTTAGGATTGGATTACACAGAATTTCATTGGAAGCGCCAATCAGAATAACCAGAATTTTAGCGGCCGCTTCGCTAGAGCGAAGGATATTCAACGTCAAAAAGGACACTTCAGTCGTCTCCGCAAGAAAAAGAACATCTGGCAGTTTGCTGCCGTCGGAGATGAGATCGTAAACCTTGGAAAGCGCAGTGGCAGAACTGCCATTGCTATCGAGAATAGTAGGTCTTCTAGCAAAAAGGGAGTCCTTTGAGCCATTCGCGATTTCGGATGAGTATTTTTCAACAGCACTGGAAATCGCCTCTGAAATCAGAGCTGTGCGGGTTAGATCCAATAGAATAGCCCAGCGAAGGGATTCTACTGGTGCTTGAATTCTGGTGAGTCTATCTGTCAATGACCGCGATGGCGTCGATGACTCCACACTGTCAAAGCAAAATAAAAGTGATATAATGGTCAAGAAAAGAATGGCGCCACGGGAAAAGCTCATAGCTTGCCGCATGTCGGGCATGACTCCTTCTCTTTTCTCCCCCCTTTTACTACGCTTCAAAGGCAAGAAAAAAGCGATAGGTAATATAATGACTCACGCAAGGCCAAAGAAGCAACCTTGATACACACAAAGGAGGTATGCGTCTGGGCGGAGGAGGAGAAAGGAGAACGAATTCAAGAAGAAATTCAATTATTTTTCCCAATTGTTCTCCTCCTTTTGATACTACTGTTGGGGTATGTCTTTATATTCAAATGAAGGCTCTTAAACCCCTTAGTATAATGAGAACTTAAAAAAAAACGATTTAGAGATAGGATAAAAAGGAGTTCGTGAAGGGAAAATATGAAATTCGTTGTGAATATTTGAAAAAGATTTCGGAAAAACAATTAGCGTGCATAATTAATCTTCTCCGTACATGAACAGAACCACCTTTTGCTCTATAGAAAAGAAGAAAAAAGCCAAACCAGTAAGCATTTGAGCAAAATCCTTAGTGTGACCTGAAGATTGCGTTTTTTGGGGGGGGGTTACCCCATACACCTCACACTGCACCTCTAGAGATATGTCCGCTCGCAAGGTGTGCGTGTATTTAGTGTAAACAAAATCATATAAATATTTACCCATCTCTTCGTTTTTCCAATATAATCATCTTAAAGAACATACAGTCATCACATCGTCTCTATTGTAGAATCGCTCGCGTAATAATAAGCATTCTCCACATCACTCATTATTTAATATATATAAAGGAAAAATCAAACTACCCAATTTACTCATACATTCTTTACACAGTTCCCATCTACAGCAAGCATACGACACAAATGTAGTAAAATTGATACTGCTAAAGCTATGCAAAAAAAAATCTGTATGTTTGTGGCCGTCAGGCGCGGTCACCACGCAGCCGCATGGCTAGCTGAAGATCCCTCGGAAACAGAGTCACACGCTTTGCGTGGATGGTGCACAGATTAGCATCATTTAGCAGATTTACAATGTAGCTTTCTGTGGCTTCCTGCACAGCCTCCAACGCAGAACTGCGAACACGAATGGAATCCTTCAGGTTAGCAACAATCTCGCGCACGAGGCGACGAAAAGGGGCGCGAGAAATGAGGAGGTCCGTAGAAGCTTGATAACGACGGACTTCACGAAGAGCAACAGTGCCGGGTCTCCAACGATATTGTCGTTTCGCACCGGATGCAATACCCTTAGACTCTTTTTTAGCAGTTATACGGCCCTCTCTGTGAATGCGTCGGCTGGCAATACTCTTGCTTGGATGCTTCGACAACACAGCCTTACTTAAACCCGCCATCTATTAATAAGATAGAAAAGGCAAAAAAAACGTATATAAAAATTATTCAGATATATGCTTGGGAAAATGAAAAGTGTAAATGCTTGACTGTCTTCAATCAACAGATAAAATAACCAAGATAGGAAGCGCACATTGAGGTGTTGAAGTAAAAGACAAAAAAAACATATATCGTACGATTCGACAAAAAAGGACTCCTTTTTTTTCAACTGTTACACCTATGCGAAAATAAAACGGAATTCTATAAGCAAAGAGGAACATATGTTGAGTATGATTTGATTTATACCAATCCTTACACAGCTTGTCTACTCAACCTTTCTATCTATCCTTCCTCGATAATGAAATGATGAAACGAATAACAAGGAACTTTCGTTTTGAATGCCAAGAAGCACATCCGTGAAAATGTATGCATAAATATGACTCTTTTCTATGTTACCCCAAAGGTCTTGAGTTTGCTGAAATGAAAATGTGGCGCCTCGCGCTGTTCATTTTATCGTAGAACAAATCTACTCTACGCTGTACTTTCATGTTAGAGTCTTTTCGATCCATCATTTTTTCTTATTCTTGCGAAAAAGTTGGAAAGTCCCCTTTCATTGACAGCAGTGTGTAGTATTGATCCAATTTACTTTGAATGCCCGGCCGCCACTCCACACCTATCCCGTCCAATATGTGCGTCAGCTCTTCCATTACCGCCGAGGGTGAGGTATAAGGCATAATATTTGTCACCTCGATCTCATAAAGCTCACAGCACTCATCGCTTTGCTTGTCGACAATGGACGGGTGATTGAAAGTGACCTGTGTGCGCAACGGAGGTCCAAAGGATTGCTGCGGCCCCTCCTTCAGACGAGAGGGAAGCAGGTACTGAGTTCTGTCCAAATGGATCTGCAGCGGCTCAACTACATTCGCCTCCTCGTCGCATTGCCGTGACCCTGGCACACCAACAAAGGGGTGGACGGCGTGCGCAGTTGGCCTCAGGGTGAAATCGATGCGTGTACTTGCGGGCATAGACTGTGAGGAGACGCTGCCTTGGGACAGACACCGCCCTAACGCCGAGGCGTCCACCCCATGCATAGGGGAGGCCCGCTGGCTTTGCGCCGACAGCCACGGCACTGTGACACGGGTGGTGGTGAACCTAACCGTGTCACAGAGTGACCGCAGCCCAAAATAACCCCATAGCCTCCTAGCGATGGCGTTATGCTCGCGCTCAGCCAACAAGAACTGCGTTGGGTTCTGGATTAGCATACGCGCCACGTCCGCAGACGGTTTGACTTTGCTCGTGCGACTGATTTGTTGTCCATCTTTGAAAGACTGATTTTCCTTCAGAACGAGGGTATAGTATGCGGTATGGTTGTAGCATCGCAGCCGGAGAAAGCATTTCTGCTGATGGAGTTCACGATTAGGGCCGTCAAAAAAGTAGTTCTCTTGGAACTCTGTTAAGTCCGAGGCGGTTAGTTCGCACGTATGCTCATTGATTGGGGCCATCGCGTTGGGCAGCAGTTCGTGACATTTTCGCTGTCGCTTTCGTGAACCTTCTATTCTACAGTTTTCGTTGGGATCGGCGGCGCTGTCTCCTTGAACAGACATCATGATTTCATTCAAATTATTCCGAACCTCCTCATAACTGCTAAAACTGCTCAGACGCAGTTTAACGTCTTGTACATTCTGTGACTGTACATATTCATTCCGCATCTCACGTATAAAACGGGCATACTTCCCTTCAGAACCGAGATAATACTTGACCTGTAATTTTATAAGCAGAGCCTTTATCTCTGCTAAGATTTCGTCCTCCAGAGGTCCATCAATCTGTGAAACCTCAAGTTCGTACTTCTCTCCAAATGGATAGAACGTCTTGTCAATTCGAATCTTCAAATTATCTCGCCACGATTGCTCCTTTGTACATGTGGAAGTACAAGTCGATGCGACCTTGCCAAGAAGTAGATCATTACTGTCAGAATCGCTTTCGGTGCTGAAAATACCCCGAAGGTATCGATAGGTTCTCCTGGTAGATATGTAGTGCCCCATATTAATTAGTTCATATGGGGGAAAATTTGATGCTTGCGTTTCGGCCAATGTGCTAAGTTGGAGGTGGGTTCCCGCCGCATGACGCACCTGGCTGTAGTAGAAATTACCACCATCATCCTCACTACCTGCCTCGACCTGCAAAGGTGCACATTTTCGTATTTGATTGGATATATAACGCAGACGTTCCAGAATCTGCAGTATTGGTGCTTTATTCTGATCCGAGCCACTACTGCCTTGCTGCTGGATAGAATCCTGCTGCATAAATTCGTGCTGGCGCTGCTCCGCGTATCGCTCGAGAACGCGAAACAGCGAAGTAGCATGTCCATTATTCCTTCCTTGCAGAAGCAAATCTTTCACCACATCCGGGGGCACGTTATTATCTTCTTGAATAAAATTCAATTGACAACCGTCAGTAACCTTGTTGTTTTGTTTAAACACAAGCCTTCCACACGCTCCTTCGACCAAATTCATAGTATTCTCATCAGCAGGATCAAGACTGAGTCCCAACGCGGCAAGCGGGCTTAAATCGTTGTGGGGATCGTTCACTGATGACGCGGAAGCCACCTCCGCATCCACAGATCCAACCCCACACGCCGCCGCGCGCTGTTGTTCTTGAATCTGCATCTGCTGCCTGATTGGGTTGGGACCTCGACAGGAGCTCAGGAAGTGCTCATAGCAACTGTCCCCTGTCACAGTGTCTGGTGTCGGCACAAAGCGCTCCCCTTCGTTCTCCTGCTTATTGCGAAAAACGTTGCCCCCACACCAAATGGGAAGCGTGCTAGGATTAGGCTTCTGGATCGGCACGCGAAGACGCACAACAGAGTCCGTCTGCGTTAGCGCCTCATTTTCGAAGTCGAAGAAATAATCACAATAGGTCTCCTCTTTTACGAAAAGCGGTGCGAGAGCTTTAGTAAGGATTTGGTAGTCGCTGGTATCTGCCAGCAGCACTTTGATTTCAAATTCCATTTTTATCCGAGTTTAGAATCAAGAAGACAGCTTGGAATAAAGATATATATATATATATATATATATATATATATATATTATTATTATTAT